GATGCAGCAACAAACTTCATCTATTGCATTGCCAGCCTGAACTTGCAGCAGCTGGTAAGGCAATTTTCCTAAGAAGTTGTTCCTTTCAATCTACAGGAAAAAGGTGCTTTTAAAAAAAAAACCCAAAACCAACACCAAACCAAAAAAACCTAGTAGCATTATATAATTGATTGGAAGAGTGTTTTGTTTGGGTGGTTTTTTTTTATTTCTTATGAATGCTGGATGACCGTGGGTTGAACAGTTTTTAAAATGAAGTAACTGTTAGGGCAGTGAAGGCCCAAGGATCTGGCAACACAGAATAAAGTTAGTGTTCTGGCAGATTTCTTCAGTTTTCTGAAGCCACGGTCAATAACTTTGCAGTAAAACTGAGCTATGACTGGTGTTTTTGTCATTGACTGAGAGCTGCTATTACATGATATTAAAGAAATAAAGATTTAAGATTTTTAGCCAGACTGCAGTACAAAATTAATAGCCTAATGAAGAAAGCAATATGACCTTCTGGAAGGTAAATGCAGCCTGTTTACAGTGTCGTGGCCAGGGGTTTATCGTATGTGCAAGCTTTGGCTCTGCGGGAGGAGACTGAATATGCTGCCTTTTTCTTGGATTTTTTTCAGGTTCACTGACCTGCAAAGAATTTGCTTCTTCTATCAATGACAAGTATTTTTTATACAGTGTCAGTCAGGGGAAGATTTACTAAAGAGAGAGGAAAGAACAACGCCTTACTACATCATCTCTTCCCAGGTGGCCACTGATTGAAATCCTCAAGAAAAACCATTCACAGCATGAGAGGTCAAATACAGAGGTAGTTGTAAGGGATTGAGAAATAATAGCTTCTGGCATAAACACAGCATCAAAATTAGATTTTATTGGTTTGCTTCAAACCGTTGGGCATCATCTCCTGAATCTGGAATGCTCTAACACCAATTTGCAGTTACAGTAGATTGTCTTCACCAGACCTTCCAGTGAAGCAGTTTATTCCAGTTGAGGGTCAGTCCCTGAGGTTCAGTAGCTCTGTGAGGCATCACTTGCCATGGTCCTCTGGAAGAATCTGTTTTTCCTTCTGCGATGTCTCAGCTTAAGATAAACTGATTTTACAGCTTGCCACAACGAATGAGTTCAAAGTTGAGTGGATCTCTATGGATCATAGGAATCTATTCTTACATGGATAGATTAAACTCCTCAAAGTTTGTTTTAATCTGGTACCACTGTTTTTTCTGTTGACACCAAGTATGATGTACTCTGTGCTGTACATCCACATGGAGAAATAGTAAGGCTAGTTAGTGTCCTTCACTCTTGCACTCGGTTATTCTGCTGCCAAGCTCCCCATGCACACAAACCTTCAGATATAGTGGTACAGCAAAGATAAATTGCAGTTCCCAAATATAACTGTATATTTTTTGTCTTGTTTCCTTAACAGCACTTTGTTACCCATCCTTTGTTTTGTTTGACATATTTAAACTGAGAGATTCACTGTGTAATTCTTGTCTTATTTATTCAGGTGGGTTATTCCTGGGGAATTTTGATTATGATGGTATAGATCTGATGTAATACTTAGGGCAGATTATATGACTGAAATCTTTAAAACACCACTCTTCTGCTGAGTCTCACCTAATAACACATGGAATGGTAATCTCCTGCAATTCTGCCTTTGTAAAAACATGCATAGTTTTTGCAAAAATAGTCATGGTTGCAATTAGGGATGCTGACAGCTGTTTTTGTTTTTAATTTCTTGTGCTTCAGAATCCTTAATAAACTTTCACGGTCAAAATCTGGTACTGCAGAGGTTAGTGTAGTTTTTAAGATTTTTTTTTTTTTCTGTTTGTGCTGATTATAAAACTCCCCAGATAAAAGTGTAAAATTGTTTGAATTTTTGTCCTTTGGCTGTTTGGAAAGCTGCTGTCAGCTTCCAGTACAAACCAATTCATATTCAGTGCACATCTGCAGCTTGATGGTAGGGGAAGTGCAACAGCAAGCAGACTAGTTTGCCATTGCCCAAAAATTTAAAAACTAATGGACCCCACTCTTATTTGGTGAGATTGTTTCCTTTTTTAGTAGGCAGTTTATCTTCTTTTTTTTTTTTTTTTTTGTAAATTTGTGTTGCTCTTCTATTCCTATGAGTCACTGATTTACAAACTCTGAGGAACATTGTCCTGTGGAGATAGAGAATACAGAGGGAAGATTTTTTAATCCCTTAGATAATTAAGCACTAAAATAAATGATGAAAAAATTATGAGGTGAAACACTCTGTTAGTTTTAATACAAAAATAATATACTTCTCCCTCTGGAATGCAAGGGAGGGAGCTGCAATCAGAATAAGGAAAATGAAAAATGGAATACCCTGAGCTTTTTTTTTTTTTCTCTCTTGAAGTTGCCTTCTTGATGCCTCACTGTGTTTAATGGTGCTTTGCCAAGCTGTTGGGAGGAGTACAAAATGAGTGTGGAATTTATAAATGGGACATTAGATGGAGGAACGATGTTATGGGCTGGGTGATCTGAGGAGTACAATAGCAGAACAGATTTTGCCTTGGGGCTGGGTAGGAGAAATGCATCCCTGCAACTCTAAGTACTAGCAAAACCATTTAGGATTGTTAGAAATCTTTGTTAGGGGATTATCTAGAAAAAGGTCTTTAAAAACTTTGCTCTAAATGAATATCAGGAGAGAGAATGGGAGCTGAATGCTGAAAGACAAGGCTAAAATGAAGGGTGGTTTCGCATGCAAAGAATCTCTGCAGTTTACTCTTCATTAAAAAGATGCAGAAAAGCCTTGAGTGTGACTTCCTCCAAATTCAAACAAGATCTAAGCTGAATTTTCCACCTCTAGGGATCACAAGACTTCAGCCTTTTAGTTCTGTTGCAATTTAGTCTTGTATGATGATGTGTGCTGAGGCCATTTTCCCGATTCTTCAGATGGAATTTATTTCTGCTTCCAGGTAGAGTTTAAGAGTTGAGATTAATTAATCTTTTAGAAGTAAGGTTTTATTTTCATTATTTATTAGGAGAGGAATTTCAGTTTTTCAAGATGGAGAGAAAGATTTCCAAAACTGTGAAACTCTTATCTGCCATCTTTTCGTCCTGGTATCGTTCATTCTGAGATTTGTTCCTTCGTTTTACAGCTGAATGATGTCCACCCTTATCTAGGGTTTGTTTGTGTTTTGCTTTTGGTTTGTTGTTTTTTTTAGGTTGGGTTTGGTTTGGTTAATAGCCAGCTGGTTGTGCTTTTCCATATACAAAGTTCTTTGCTCTAGTTTTCCAGTTTATTGCTTTGCATTATGTTAGTGCCTGGAGACCTTGACTGAGATCACAGCCTTGTTATTTTAGGTGATACTCATAAATACTAAGATAAATCGGTTGCTTTTGGAGTCTACACAGACAAAGTGTGAGGAGAAATAAATAGTAATACCCTTATTTGTTAGACGTAGAACAGCAGCACAGAAAAAGCAACTTGGCTGAGACTGGACAAAGTCTATGGCAGAGTGCGATCCCCCGAATTAGCCGCTTTGTGTGGAGGTGCCTTGGCTGACGTCCTGGTTATGGGTAGCATCAGTGTGGCTTCCTCTTCTGCAAAGGGGAAATTCTCTTTCAGGTTATACAGCCCACAGGTAGGTAAGATGATCATTGCTGTGAGAGGCATTTTCCAGATCATTTTTGGTGAACACTTGTGGTCTGAAATCAGAGGTTTTTAGGAACTGACAATACTTTCCCATAGGATTTGAAGATAACAAGCCTATTCTGTCCTGTTCTAGGATTTGCAGTGAATTGCAGTACATAAATGGCAGGTTGGTGGTTAGGAGTAACTGACATCAGTTTAAGCCACCGCAGTACTCGATGAGCAAATAAATATTTAGGTCAGATGCCAAACAAAAAATAAGGACTGATAAAGCATTTGTGGACCAGAGCTTGTGAAACTGGTTTGCCTTTGAATGCTATCTGTGCTAACCCCTTGTCACCTTTCTGAAAAAGGGTAAAAATTTGAATTTACTATGGAGAAAAATGAAAGTTATTTCACAATTAGGGTGTGAAGACATAAGCACAAAGGTCAGATGTTCAAGCAGGAAAGGTCATATTGTATTTGCATTTGTATTTTTTCACAGTGTTATCTCTCTGCTCTTTGGGACTGACAGTTCTTAGAAAGGATGGAGAGTTGATTCTTTAATATGATAGCCTGCCTCAGGTAATTGTTTGATCGCACAGTTAAAATAGATATCTTGCAGTAGGAGAGGCTCAGTGTCATTGAAAATGTTCTTTCAAAGTGCAGTGATGTACAGCCTAGAGATAATGCAGTTGTATGAAGGAACAATGCAGGGTTAGGCAACAACCGTGGCATGAATCCTGCCTGATAGTTATTTACAGAAAAAACCCCTCTTTTCATAGATGAAGTGAAATAGAAGAGACTATAAATTGGATGCAAATAAAGCTGCTTTTGAAATCCTCTAGTAGCCGAGTGTTGTAAAGGAGCTTTTGTGTAAATGGTAAAAGCTATTCTTAAAGTGAAATTCAGCCTTGTGCAGGAAACCACTTGGAGTCCATGTATTGTTTGAGAGTGCTGAAAAGAAGGTTGAAGTGAACTCTAAGTGGTCCATGTGCAGCATTTGATGTAAAATCATTGCACTGGTTTCCTGTACAGGTGTAGCTTGCTTTAGTGACCACATTCCTTTTTAAATGTGCATGTGCAGGGATCTTATGGTGCATGTGCTGACTGGGTAATTTTGCTCTACAGTAATAAATGTGTATTGAAAGTGAAGCTGTGACCTTTGACATGAGTAAACCTACACAAGCTGCTACTTTTAATCTAGCTGCCATGTAGAACGTATCATAACCTGTTGTTTTCCAAGCTAACTGGACAAATTATCATCTACTGAGGCTACTTCTGTGTGGATTGATGATGCTATTGCCACCAATATCAGCTACAGCCCTGTCAATCCCCTCGGTAAAGTCAGTGAGGTTATATCATAATATGACTTGAAGGTCTGATCTTTTAAACTCTCCTTTCCTTTCAACAGTGACTGAGAGCCGAGGGATCCTGGAGAGTATACAGAGATTTTCTTTACTGCCAACTTACTTGCCTGTGACCTATCGTATCCACAATGCGGATGTTTCCTTCTTTCTTAAGGAAGCCAACCAGGATATTATGAGGAATTCTAGCTTGCAGTCCCGAGTGGAGTCCTTTCTAATCTACAAATCCAAGAGGCCACCTGTGTTAAATGCCAGCTATGGACCTTTTTCCATCGAACAAGTAGTGCCCCAGGACTTAATGTTGTCTTCAAACCCATTTGGATCTACTAACAAGTTCTCCTTTAATTGGAAACTTAAGGCCTTCATAATGAGTGACAAAATTTACCTGAGTAAACCCAAAGTCCAGGTCCTGTTCTACATCGTGGGCAGGGATTGGGATGACTATAGCACCACGGAACAGCTGCCCTGCCTGCGGGTGTTTGCCTTCCGAGAGACGCGGGAAGTCAGGGGCAGCTGCAGATTGCAAGGGGATCTGGGGTTGTGTGTGGCAGAGCTGGAGCTCCTGCCAAGCTGGTTTAACCCCCCCACGGTTGTTGCTGGCCGTAAGAAACCAATGGATCAGTCTGAAGGGAGCCCTGTGGAGCTTTACTATGCCATACAACCAGGACATGAGAAAGGGGAATGCACCAAGGAGGATGTAAGGAAAAGTAATGGGATCCGACCAGGGCGCAATGACATTGATGAGTCGGGACCTCCCTTGCAGAGGATTGGAAGTGTTTTCCTTTACCAGACAACACATGCTGTCCCTTCCTTAAATGAAATGAGATTGGATAATAATATTGCCATCCAGTATGCACCAAAGACTGTCAAGCAAGGTGACATTTTGACTTTCCTTGTATCTGTTGCTAAAAATTCAACAGAAGATCAGTTCACACTGAGGTAAGGCTGTTTTGGGTTTCTTTGGTACCTTATGTTTTTCATTTTTCTGCTCTTGGTACGGGAAGTCACTTTCCCATGTATAAAATGCCTAACAATCCTTTAATTGCTGCTCTACAGAAATTGTTTTGCAGTTGGCTGACTCAACGTTTCCCCTTTTGTTCTGTCTAATACGAATTGTCTGAGATGTGATCTCTTTGAGTGAGAAAGGCCTTTTCTTGAGGTTGTCCTTTGATTATGCCTTATAAAAATTGAAATAGTAGAGCTGAGACCTATCTGTGTGCTAATGGGAGATAACATTTAAAGTCTCCTGAGCTGGAGTTTCCAATGCTCCTAATCTCTCGTTGAATTTATGTTAAGATTAGTAAAGCTCAAATCCGCAAAGGTATTTATAGGAAGTGAGCAAGAATTAGGCATCTAAGTAGGATTTATATGTTTAAACAGGTCCCTGTAACTTGTTGTAAGCCTGGTGTTTTATAGAATGTTTGAGTTTCCCAAGTATTATTGATATACCAAAACCATTTCTGAAAATAAAAAATACCTGAGGGTGGTGGTGATTTTTTTTTTTTTTAAATTTAATGTAGTGTCACATGCCACATTGATTTACTTGGTTGCTTTCCAAGCATTAGGATATTATGGTGGGAAGCTCATTATAACCACCTGTGTAATACAAGGAGAACAGCAAAGACTATCAGGCTCTATGGTGGCAAACTGAGAGCAGATGCACGTTGCATGTGCGACAGTCCAGTTGTCTTGGCTTTTCAAGTTTGCCACTCTGTGTTCCAGCATTCTAAACTGGGCTTGTGTGGCTGACACATGGAAGATTGGTGTGTTTAGAGCTGATTTCATTCTTTTATCCCTTACCAGTGACTCACGTCAGCTCTTTCAGAACTGGAGGTAAATGTCATACTCTGGCTTCTGAGATTAAGAATTACTTGTCTTGGGTGTTTGTCCTAGAAATGACCATTGGTGCCAAAGCTCGCAAAGGCTGACAAAACATGCCTCCAAAAGAGGAGGCGCATCAAAAGAGGGTGCAGTGAACTCCTTGCTCTTAAAAATGTCATAGATGCACCATAATCAATAACTGTACTGAGCACTAGAGATGCTTGGTCCCTTCTCCTAAGAACTCATATCCTACTCTGACTTGAGACAAAATGCACCATTCTTTCTCTGGTGGTTATCCATATCAAACTCAAAAAATCTGGTATGTTTCAGGGCTCAATTATTAAAGTGGTACAAAGCTATAAATGCAACAGTGTTGAGCTTAGATATATACCTCATACTTGAGTGAGTCATATTTGACTCCACTGATAATAGTAGAGAGGACTCAAAAGAGTACTTTTTTTTTTCTTTCTTTCTTTAAATCCCTGGGGAGCTTTGTGGGATATATCTGGGGGAAGTGGTTTGCCATAAAATCAGGAATCGGGTCATTTTTCCTTTACAGCTGTGTGATATATAAACTGAATAATGACAGCACTTGGTTGCTGACTCAAGGACACTTATTTCCTCTTCATCTGGTAGGGACCAAACACTGATAGGCTATCTACTTTCCTTACCATAGCAAGTTTCCATTTTCTGAGTCAATCTGCCTAAGATTAAAGTTGTTTCCTGAGTGACTGATGTTAAGACAGACAATCCGAGTTCCTCATTGTAAGCTTTCAGGGACACCTTTCTATCTTCCTGTATACTAATGTCTTTAAAGGGATATTACTTCAAATGTTGTGTGGTGGCTTCTATTACATTTGAAAATTGGTTTAAATATAAACATTAAAAACCTTTTCTATCTAATAGAGAATTAAGGTAAAAAACTTTCAGTGTTTTTACTCTGTAAATGCAGGATCTTAGCATTCTGACTTCAAAGCCTCTCTACTTCCATGAGCTGTGATCAGTTGAAAGTAGAGCTAGTTATAACCATGATAATTATATTATATGTCAGTTTATAAAATTTTTAAAAATCTTGCTTTATTTAAATTGGGATGAAAACTGAACACCTGAACTTCTAAATGAATGCTTCTTAATTTGATTTTCTGGAACAAAAAGGAAACAATGTGTTTGAATGTTGGCTTTTTATTTTAAGATCTAAGATATCATAAAACACAAAAAAAGCTAAAAATAGGTAGCAAATATCAGTTCAAAATGAAAAGTGGGGCCGAGACACTTCTTCAAAAACATCAGTTCGCTGTTACCTTTTAAAAACATAAACTTCTGTAACAGCCTGCTTTTACTCGTGTCACTTCCATGAGTTTTGATTTCTCTTGACCCGCTTTCTCTAACAGTAGCTGGCTTTCAGACTATAATCTGCTGCAATATCAGAGTAGTTATAATAGCTGTTCTACTGTGTTTCTAAAGCACTGTTCCCTGTCTCTTTGATCTAGCTACATCGTGTCTGAGCTGTTATTTGATTGTTTTCTTGGTCAGAATTGTAATATCTGTGTTCTGCATTCATCCCTCCATGGCATATACATAACCAATTCAGTTTTTGGTGGTTGCTAATTTATACATATCTTCTGCTGTAAGGGAAAAAGCAACTATCAGGTAAGAGCAAAAACTGAACTTGATTAAATGTTTTGGGTCAAATTCTTTTCTATGATCCCAGGGTCAGACAGAATGTTAATGCCTCTGTCATGGCTCTCTCATTAGGACTACATGTCCCTCTAAGTCATTAGATATTGGAGTAGCCTTTGACTGAATTAAGGCCCTATTACAGGATTGGAAATCTTACATGTCAGTCTAGTATATCTGTTATGCATAACTAAATGATCTTTAAAGCCATTCTAACCCAAACCATTCTATGTTTCTGAGATTATACTATATATGTTCTCTTTTGACATGGCCAACTAAACAAAAGACTGTATTTGACATGCTGCCTGTTCTGCTTTTAGAGCAGATTCTTCAGCTGGCATTCCTTTTCAGTGATCTGATTGAGTTTTAAGTCTCTAAAACTTGAAATTATCTTGGTTTGTAGAGGTACAGACATTGGGTCAGGATAGATTGAAAGAAACTTAATTCCTGTTAGAACATGTAAATATGAGGACATGAACAGGAGCAGAAATGGGCCATTCGTGTAACTACTAAAATGATTGATCATAATACATAGGAAAGGATAAACAGCCCTTGTTCATTCAGACAGAAATAGTGAGTCTAAGGAAAAAAAAACAAAAAACCCGCAGTTTGGGGAGAGGAAGAGCAGTCTCTAGCCTCAGCTGTTACCCAGAAGGTCCCTCTGTATTTTCCAAAAGATCCCATTTTCCCATACCATGTATGGCTTTTCACCCACTGATGGCAAGTTTTAATATTCCTGAATGAAAAAACCCATACCTGTTATGCAATACAAACTAGATGGGGAAAACTCAGGATTGCACATTAAACCCCACCATGTGATTCAGATTAATTCTAAGGGCTATAGAGAAAGTAACGTGTTTCACCAGACTGATTTTCAACAGGCCACTTCAGAAGTGGGGCTTAGCTCTAACAAACTCCTGGCTGCTTCCAACTTAGGGGTCCCAAGGTTTGGAAGGGAATCTCAAAGGTGTAGGGAAAACCTTGCTAGATCCTTAGTTTGCAAAGACCATAAATTAATTCTGTGTGTATCTGTCACATCTGGTTAAAAATAACAAGTGGCTAATAGGGCTAAAACTGCCAGTCATTGCTGTGTAATGGAGACATCAGATCTCTTCTTTCAGACACAGATTTGGTACCAAATAATCCATAAGCTTCCAGTGTGACTTTAGACGAGTCATTTAATCTATCTCCTTCTCCTTTCCCCTTCTCTAACCTGGCAGTGCTGGGAATAGGAACTACTTCCATGCTGTGTCTTCTGTTTGCAATGGCAGTACTGCTCCTTGGGACAAAAAGTGGTGTTGTGCACTGTCATGGATATTGGTCTTCATGGTTTCTGCCTCTATGTACAACATAGCCAGCATGTGCTGCAACTGTCTGGTCTCTTCTCATTTTGATCTCCTCTCTGATAAAGGGCCCCTTCCCCCCCTCCCCCATAACTCTTGTGAGAAAATTGTATTAATTTTAATTTTGAAACAGTTCCTTATTTTTAGAAGCTGTACCTTAAGTGGCAGCAAGACTTGGAACTGTATTCAGAAAGTGAGGCCAAGGGCTGCTGGCAAAATGCTTTTACCATTGCTTTTGCTCCAGTGGACTGGAAATCATGGCTTGAACAGATGGAAAATATAGGATATACAGGTCAAAAATGAAGAAACAACCATGCAAAACAACCACAAGCCAAAAATTATTCAAACTGACTGATTTTTTATTTTTATTTTTTTTTTTTTTTAGAACAGTTACATTTAGAGTAAACCCTCTCCCCTTTCTAACAGGAAATTATCTCCAAGGAGAACCTCCTAGAAAATTCTAAATACTAAAACATATAGGGAAAGGTACCTTTGGTTTTTTTTTTTCCTTCCTACTGCTGTTCTGCACAGTGGAAGATTTAGAGTAGTGACTGTGAAACTGATGGACTGTTTTTAATTTTGTGAAAGAGTTGGACCATAAGGGCCAAGGTTTAGATTTTGTTTTTTAATGAACTAGAGAAATTAAAAATATTTGTCTTGACTCTATATGGGCACGAGAGTTAGAGGAAAGGAAGGAAGGAGATAAAATGTAAATGATGGATAAATATGGAATGCTTCTGTAAGCACCAGGTTGTGAGCTTGGGCTGGAGCACTGAGCCTTAAGAAACTGGCTGATTTCCTAGCTTAATTCACACACTTGATTCCTCTCTTGTCTTGGCCAAGTCACTTAACCTCTCTGAAGCCATTTTATCACTGCTAATATCAACAATTATTTGAAGATGACATGCTGTATACATGCAACGAGCAATTATATCTTCCCAGGGAAGCAGTATTAAATGCCTTTATAAAATAAGTGATTGAATGTCCTGTGCCTTTATCCTATTATCTTCTCTCCTTTTGAATTCAAATTAATTATTCATTGTATTCTTTGTAACTGGCCACATGGGAGGGTTGTGTACAGAGGTGCAAATAGTGTCG